GGGAGGGGGAGAAGCGGCGCCCGCGCCGCGGCCACTCAGAGTCTCCCCTCCCTCCCAGGCTCTCAAACCTGGGAGGGAGGGGGAGACTCCGAGTGGCTGCGGCACGGCGCCGCTTCTCCCCCTCCCTCCCTCCATCCTAGGCTTGAGAGCCTGGGGGGAGGAGGCAGGGCTGGGGATTTGGGGAAGGGACGGAGTTGAGGTGGGGGTGGGATGGGGTAATTAACTAAGGGGAGGGGGCGGCCAAAATTGTTTTTGGTTTGGGTGGCAAAAATCCTAGAGCCGGCCCTGCCTGTGGGGTGTACAGAATGACTTAGCAGGCCACCTGAGCAAATGGTTTGAGTCACCACAAGTGGTTTCTTCACCTAGTTGTGGCCAGATACATCTTCTAGCTGTGGGGTTTTCCCCAAGTAGAGCTATTTGTGACAAAGTCCGACAGAAGATGTCTGCAGTTCTGCTCCCTCTGGGGCCACAGCTTTTTATTATTGAAATGGCTCTGGAGGACAAAAACTAAGAGACATGAATGCTAAATGCTATTAAAAGTCGTTTATGAATTATAAATGATTACTATCTCACTTCTTTTCTTCAAACTTCTTTATGTAGCTCTGGGTAGCTAGAACTTTTTCCTTGCATTGCCACTTCACAGTACCGAAATAATTTGGGACAGCCCATGAGAAATTGTGGCAGTAAAGACATCATATAAACTGATTCAGTGGTTTTTTGTTTTATTTTTATACCCCCCTTGAAACTTGTGTTCTGTACTTACCTTGTGAAACAAGCATATTTTAGGAGATACTTCTGGTGGAGGTGGCATCTTTTGGATTAGACTTAAATGCGCAATCCTGATCACTTGCAATAATTACGGTCTCATGGCACTTCTTATATGAGAGGGATGTAAACTTCAGTGTCCTAGGTCAATATTGATTGGGTAACTTCATTCCACCTACCTACTTTCTTGTCTTTGGTTTCAATAGGATGCGGCAGTTGTCTTCCCTTCCTGTTTGAAATTGTTGTGGTGCTGTGCACTGTACATTGTTGCTGTATTTCAATGGTGGGTGGAATGACGTGTATGATGTGCATGAAAAATTGCTACTAAAATAATTTGGTACTTTTTAATGAAATGCACTGTATGAATGGAGGGTGTTTGTTTAAAAAATAAAACCCAAATGAAAACATACCTCTTTTTTATTTGATTGTTTACTCCTCCACCTCTTTCAATGATAAATAGTGATCAGAGAAAGGACCTACTTGGAAGTGACAGAAGAGAGGGACCAATGCCTAGTGAAGACTATACATTGAAGGAGTGGCTACAATTTTGTGTATGGTTGTAGCTCCAGTGCCATGTGGGAAAGGAAGTGAATGATTGCAAAGTTGAAAGGATCATTAACACAGTGGTTGAAGTCATCAAGAATTAAGATGGAGGATTGGGAAGAAAGGAAAAGGAGGACCAGGAATCCAAGTTGAAGAGGAATTAGGATGAGGAGACAGGGGAAAGTTAGTCAGCAGATGGCATAAACCTCAAGGGGAAGGAGGGAAAAGAGTTAGAAATGGGAGAGCAGGAAGCCAGTGCTTCTGCTATTGAGAGCACGATGAATGGGAACATTTCCTCAGTTTCTGCCTTCTCCTTTGACTGGCTCCCACATAAGGGGAAAGCCAGTAAAAACAAAGATGAAGGAGGTGAGAGAGAGAGAGAGAGACATCACAGGTTATGTCTGCTTTCTAAAAAGGAAAGCAGGAGCCCCAGAGGGAACAGGAAAAAAGGGAACTTGAGCAACTCTAGACTGCACTAAAGTGAGACAGAGGGGTTACTCCTGGGGGAATTCTGTGTCTAAAAATCCTGCCCACAATATTTTAAAATTCTGCATATTTTATTTGTCAATATAACACACTATAATCATGCCAGTTTCAATTATTTTGATAATTTATTTCAAAATACCTGTCAGCAAATATGTCTGTAACAATATGGACAACAAAAAAGATTCAAGTTGCAGTGCCCGGAATCTGAAACTGTACTCAACCTGCAGTATGGTTCAGAAAATATTATTCAAATGGCCAAAGTTTATTGTCCATTATGTCGAAGTCACTTTGAGTAAATTAATGTTCAAAACTAGTGCACAAAGTTTACAATCCAAGAAAAAAATTCCTCTATGCCTGTTTCCCCCCCAGAAGATCTATGGTAGCCAATCTCTGTGCTTGGTAAAAGACTTCAATATAAGCAGTGAGGCAAGTGCAGTCTTGTTAAATGAGCACCAAGCTAGGAACCGGGAACTCCAGGGTTCTTTCTGTGGACACTCACTTGCTGGGCAGAAGGTCACTTATGCTTTCTGTGTCCTTGTTTTCCAGTATATAAAATGGACAATGATATTTCTGTACCTCTGCAGAATGCTGTGCAGTCTTGTCAGGGGATGATGTTAAAGCCCTTTGAGCATATTAACTTTATATAGTGCTAAGGATACTTCGCATGGTGAGTCCAGGGAATCGGACTTCTTATACTTGTACCTTTAATGAATTAAGACTGTTTTTAACTGAGGGGATGGGACAAAAAGAGAGCATGAAGGGAATAGGAGACTGAGAACAAAATGTCCAAACGTGGGTGGCTGCGTGTACCGATTCCCACCCACTGCATGTCTCCCTTTTTCTTTATAGCATCGGGTGCTTCCCAACCCTCTTACTTGGGCAAGTGGAAGTGCCTGTTCTGGCAGAGGAGAGCTAGATCTACTTCATTTACTGAGGCCAGCCACCCTGCGAGACAGTCCCTGTTCCAAAGACCTTAAATTCATATTTAAATTCACATTTACTTTGATTCCATGTAAACAGTGTTGATTCACAAGCTGTGTATGTTGCTGCTTCTGTTTCAGGTAATGGTCCCCATCATGACCGCTGCTGTGTCTACAATGAAAGCAACTTGGTAGATGGAGTTTACTGCCTGCCAATAGGACACTGGATCGAAGTCTCTGGACACACTGATGAGATGAAGCACACAACTGACTTCTATTTTAATATTGCAGGCCATCAAGCCATTCACTATTCCAGGTAAAAAAACAAACAATGAGTATTCTCAAGGGCTTGTTCAATCCAGGCAGCTAAAGAGGAAATCTGAACTGAAAGGATGGATAGAGACTTAGACCATATGGTGGCAAATGGGAATTTGTGTGGAACAGAAAGTAACGACCCATTCACATACACAGAGAGGCAACTCAGAAGGCTAAATTTACAGTCCCTCAGAAAAGCTGAATGCAAATTAACTGCCCCTAAGCAAGTAAAAATCAGATATGTCTGCATAATGGAGAGATTTTGAGTTCAAGCCTACTTTAATTGAAGTCAGTGGCAGGCTCCCATGGAGTGAGAGTACTGATCAGTAATTTAAGGTTAAAAACTTTACAGAGCTGTTGTAGTTCTTCCAAAACCAGGCATAACAAACCCAGAAAACTCGCAGTTAAGGTTATACATAAAAAACCCAAATATGTTAAGTATGAGAGTGCACAATTAAGGCACCCAAACAACCTTCACGTTGCAATGTAGTGATGCCAAGCAAATAAAGGAGAAGCAATTTCATTGCAAAGTCTGTGTGTGGATTTCGGGTTGCATACCGTTAGCTATGACCAAACGGTCACCCCTCCCCCACAAAGTGCGAGGGTCCACTAAGCCACAGCACAAGCGACCTTTGTGGGTTTGCCGCAAGGAATTCCTCTATTAGAGATCTGCAGATGGCAACGTGGGGCTCTGTAGGTATTTTTACTAAGCATTATCCCCTTATGCAAGCTTCATTCATGGAGGTTTCCTTTGGAACAGCAGGCCTGTGATCTGTAGTGCAGCATAGTTCCTCACACCCTCCTCCTCAATGTGATGCTGTTTGTGAGTCACACACAGTGAATACTCATAGGGACCTGCACTTGTAGAAAGAAAGGTTACTTACTTTATAGTATCTGGAGTTCAAGATGTGTGGTCCCTATGTATATTCCACGACCCACTCTCCTTCCTCTCTGCTTTGAAACCTTACTATAATCCACAGTACAGTAAGAACTGGAGAGGCAGGCAGGCAGGCAGTCCGTGCCACCTCATTTGTCCCCAGTTTGGAGCACGAGCAGGCACAGGCATAGACCAGCGGACACTGCTAGTGAAAAATCTTTCAGTCTCAGGCACATGGAGCACACCCATAGTGAGTGCCGAGTGGGACCACACATCTCAAAGAACTCCAGTTACTAAAAGGTGAGTAACCTTTCTTTATGTAAAACAGCTTCTCATTCAGAATATCTGCGCCTTGTTTATCTTTGACGTCTGTCCGTTTAATTTGATGGAGAAAATATTTTTACCACTCTGTGCATTACAGAGCTAATAAAGCTATGGATGAGTGAACATGGTTCTGTAAAGCCTCAGACAACATCCAGAAATCTTCAGCTGAGCTGATATTGCAGTATTTTTACTAATGGTGATAACTGTAGAGGCAGAAAAAACATAACCTGATTTTTAAGTGTCGGGTTGAATTTGGGGAAAAAAGTGAATGTTTGATTTTTAAATTGAGCAGATATGATAGGGAAGTCACTGAGCAAGACTAGTCATGGAACCCCACCATTATTTGGCAGGGGTGGGCAGGGTTTTATGGGCATTTATATGTATTTTAAATACCATGGAGTTATTTCAGTCAGTGTAGAATATAAGTGAAGGTTCTGTCCAGTTAAAATATTAAACAAGTGACAACGTAGTCATGTGGTTATTTGGAAGTGTCATGTAAATGAAATCTTTTCAATTTAAAGAATAATATGTACTACTAATAATACCATTAAAGTTACCTGTTGTAAATATCAATAAACTTTTTTTAATTTCAAAATGTTCTTGAAAAGGAATTGTTCAATACGTCTCTCTTTCAGGGCTGGTTCCCTCCCACAGCCAAAGGCAGCCCTACTACACTATAATGAAACATCACCAGGCCCACCATGGATTTGGGCTGCTGCTGGGGGGAGCAGAGCCGGTGACCCATGGCAGAGAGCTTAGAGAAGGGGCTCTGGGACCCCAAAAGTTATGGTGGCCGCACATGTGGCCGCGTTGTGGTGACCATATGGGGCTACCGTGGCCACACTTGAGAATCGCTGCTACAGAGCAACAGCATCAGTAACAGGACTAAGAAATAATGAGCTACAGAGCAAAAGAGTTGTATGATGACATTACTGGTATCTGCTGTGGGGGGGAAGAGATTAAATGCAGGAGATAATTTTTAAACAATTTATAATTTAGTTATTTAAAAAAATAAGTGTGTGTGTGTGTGTGTGTGTGCGCGCGCGCAGTGGGGAGGGGAGGAATGAAGAAGACGACCACAGTATGGGAACAGAGCCTTATCTGTATATCCCGGGCTCATTTATTTAGATGTATTTAAAATTGTGCCTATCCCTAACTCTTGTGCATGAATAAAATTTTGTTCCAAACACATACAAATCAAAATTGGATTCTCACCAATGAAAGACCTTCCCTAACCTATCCAAATTGAAACTCTCCTTTCTCATTAACTTCCCACTGTCAGCCTTTTCCCACAGAGCCTAGAGGGCTTGTCTTCACAAACATTTAGTTCACAGCAAGCTGGGGTGTGAATCTACCCCCAGGAGCCTGCCACAGTCTGACTGTTTATGTGGATCCTGCTGACATGCATTAACAATCTGCTAATGTGCTTTGATCTAGACCTGTGTCAAAGAAGACTAGATCAAAGTGCTCTAAATCTCCCTCCTCATTAACTTCCCACAGCCCGCCTGTACAAAGTCTAGGTAAATAGATAGGCATTGCAGTGTGGCTTGAAGGTAAGCAAATTCAGAGTGGGGGAGAGAGAAAACAAGTTTCAGAGATAAGGGATCCCCTCACTGAGAACACCTTGTCCTCAACTTCCTCAGGTGTAAACTCAGCTGATTTCAACTTCTGTGGTATTGCACAAGCAGCCTGATGGTTTCTAAAATAAGCAAGACCTGACCTTTTTATAGATTCAAACCAGCCCCTTGAATTGCAACCAGAAATGTATGGGAAGTCTGTGCAGGTCAAGGGGCACAGGTATAACACGCTGCCTGAGGGAAGTACTGTTGAAAAAGCAGGGAGCTGTATTCTGTACTTCCTGACATTTCTGACTGGTCTTCAAGTGTAGTTCCATGGAGAACACATTGCAATAAGCCTTGGAGTTGACAAAAGATATAGGCAAAGGGGGGCGGAGTCTGCATCTAGAAAAACAAGTCATAAATGGAAAAGGGCACTGGCCCCTGAGATTGGTTAGACATGGGGACAACCAATCAACTTCAACATCTGGATCTGATTAACTAGAAAGGTCAGTCAGAGGAGGTTGCTCAAGAGCAATGGGGGAAACTTTTTTGGCGTTTGGGACCTAAATTTGCACCTTCTGTGTGGCAGTGCATTGCCTTGCCACTAAACTACCGGCTAGTTTCTTTATGATGCCTGTTCTAATCATCCTTTAATTATAGTACACTATATGTGTACACAATATGTATGGGTGCATAAACATACAGTTATAGTTAGGCATGGAAGGATTAGATTTTTATTGGTAAATGTCAATTTCACCATAGGCACACAAATGAAAAAATATTTCCATTCAGTCTCAATTTACAGATAGGCAAAATAAGAAACCTGCTGCTTAAGAACTTATTAGAGTTTGATTTAAGGATATTTAATCATAGAATATCAGGGTTGGAAGGGACCTTAGGAGGTCATCTAGTCCAACACCCTGCTCAAAGCAGGACCAATTCCCAACTAAATCATCCCAGCCAGGGCTTTGTCAAGCCTGACCTTAAAAATTTCTAAGGAAGGAGATTCCACCACCTCCCTAGGTAACCCAATCCAGTGCTTCACCACCCTCCTAGTGAAAAAGTTTTTCCTAATATCCAACCTAAATCTCCCCCACTGCAACTTGAGACCATTACTCCTTATTCTGTCATCTGCTATCACTGGGAATAGTCTAGATCCATTCTCTTTGGAACCCCCTTTCAGTTAGTTGAAAGCAGCTATAAAATCCCCCCTCATTCTTCTCTTCTGCAGACTAAATAATCCCAGTTCCCTCAGCCTCTCCTCATAAATCATGTGCTCCAGCCTCCAAATAATTTTTGTTGCCCTCCACTGGACTCTTTCCAATTTTTCCACATCCTTTCCACTGTCGACTCATATCCAGCTTCTCGTCCACTGTAACCCCTAGGTCCTTTCCTGCAGAACTGCTGCCTAGCCACTCGGTCCCTAGTCTATAGCAGTGCATGGGATTCTTCCATCCTAAGTGCAGGACTCTGCATTTGTCCTTGTTAAACCTCATCAGATTTCTTTTGGCCCAATCCTCTAATTTGTCTAGGTCCCTTTGTATCCTATCCCTACCCTCCAGCATATCTATCACTCCTCCCAGTTTAGCGTCATCTGCAAACTTGCTGAGGGTGCAATCCACGCCATCCTCCAGATCATTAATGAAGATATTGAACAAAACCGGCCCCAGGACCGACCCTTGGGGCACTTTACTTTGTGTATCTTGACATGATGTTGACAGTTTGTGTTTTAACTGTTATAAAGTTTTAACTTTGCATCTCACCATCTACTGTCATCAAATAATTGTCTGACACCCGCCCCCCAATTTCCCACAACTGTGAAAATATAAATAGATAAAACATTGAAAAAATGCATAAATCCCATACTTTTGTGCTACTGTCAACATTTAAAAAATGCTTAAAAATAATCATTGATATTATCATTTAAACCAAGCCTAGTTATAGTTGTTAAATAACATGCACAGGCTACTGAAAGTTTAAGAATAAGACCAATTTTAATTCTAATACTGCATAACAAAAATATATAAATACATCAGATGTAACAAAATACAGTTGAAAATAATTTCAGAGAAACTATTTAAAGATAGTTTCTATTTTGATGTTGAAACAGATTCTAAACATTATTTAAGCCTTACAACATTCCTGTGAAGCAGCTTGTTTTGACAGATTAACCAAAGTGGGCAAGCCACTTATTTTGTTTTCTGAATGCAAACAAGAAGCTCTTATCCACGTAGCCCTAAACTTGTCCACTGTCACATAGCAATTCAGTGTCAGAATGGGGAAGGAAGTTGGGACTCCTGGCTCTCAATCCTGTGCTCTAGACATACTTCTGGTGAATACCACAATTATAAGCAGTCTGGTATTACAGAGCAGATATTATAATTTTAATTGAATAGAAGATCATAGGGCAGTTTGGTTTAGGATTGTCCAGAGGTGGAGTAATTTCAGAGTACGATTTTTGCTTGACTCTTATCAGTTGTTAAGCTACTGTTATTATCATTATCTGCATTATGTTTTCTATTAGACCTGAAGAATGGCCACTCTCTAGTACTCTGTCAGATTTATTGTGTACTGTGGTATCAGCGGGACACAAAATACTGTCTAGACATTGGAGTGACACTGTGGAATTAACTACCGAAGAATGGTAGATTGTCTGTATAAACCTGATGAAATGGGAGAAAAACTGTTGTGACAACAAATGGGTCTGTTTAAAAACCTTGCCAACTTTGGCAGACATTAATTATTTTTTTTTATGTCAAGCTATTTATTAAGTGATATCCATCAGTATTGTTAATGCTCACCTGGTTTGGGGGTATTTTGTTTTCCTTTCTCCTCTTTCCAGGAAATTACCATGCATGTTGCTTGCATTATTCATATATTCATAGTCCAGTAAACCTGAGATTTTTATATTGGGATTTTGCCTGCCTTTGGACATGGAGCAGTTGGAATCATTCTTGATATACAACAGGAATTTTTTCCAATGACATTTCATGATTTATTTTGTGTAATTGTCCTGGTACGTGTGGCACGGATATGTGGCTATCCCTTTTTAACCATGTCATTGTCATTAAATGAATAATTCTTTTTACAGTTCAGAAATAATTCAGACCTATTAAAAATGTCAAGAGCTTGTTAAAAAGAAACTTCCTCCCTTATATCTCCTTTCCCCTCTCTTTCTTTTCCATCTGTTTCACTCTTCTTTTGGGGGGCAACACATTTTGTGAAAGCCTAAATCTTCCTCCTCCCTGTACAAATACCTTTTGTGGTTTATACTTCTGACCCCTCCCCCACCAAAGTGGGTTGTTCTCAAAAGCATTCTGTGCCACATTCAAAAATGTCAAAACTGATAAACGCTTTTAAATTCCCATGTGAGTCAGCCCTGGAAGAACTGGTCTGGTTGGCTTTCGCAGCCTTACATAGGTGAGGAGGCAGAATGAATGTGCAATGCCTTCCTGACATTATTGCTAGGGATCTGGTAGAATGGTGTCAAGGAATCAACCCATTGGTCAGAAGAGGGGTCTTGTAGTCACATAGCTGTTACGTGACTTGCGATTAAATGTGGTTTCCCTCTCAGAAGTAAATACAACTTCATGGGCCTGGAGTAAGGATGAGCTTTCAGAGGTCTGTTTAGCTTTGCGCATGGAATTTGGTCACATGGATGGCAGTTACAAAGAGATTGGAGCTGAAACATACATTTTGATGGTCACTTAAACAGAATTCTTCTCATAACCAGATGGGTTCTGAAGTTCAAAATGATATAATTTGTCATATGCAATGTAGCTGTGTCGGTCCCAGGATAAAAGAGAGACAGAGTCAGGGAGGTAGTATCGTTTATTGGACCAACTTCTGTTGGTGAGAGAGACAAGTCTTCGAGACACAATGAAAATAGCTGATAGTAAGGTCATTGTTCAGCTCAGCTGAACTAGAAGTGGTGGTATTGGGGGAAGGAAAAGATGCATAGGATTGTATTAAAAATAATGCTACTATTTCACAGAAGCAGCTGCTTATTTGTACAGCACCAACACTATGCTGGGTGCTTGACAGACAGATATGAAGGCAAAGCTTTTGCTAAAAAGAGCTTACAATCTAACCACGCAATCTACAACCCCAGGAGTAGGGAATGGGCAGTAACAATGTAAAATGAGTGAGCGATGAAGTTTAGCACTTAGCATATTCAAAACAATGACAAGAGTGGCCCCTTGACTTAAGGGGATTATGGGATGTTTCCGGAGGCTGATCAGAGTGCAGTAATGCAACACCTCGTTCACACTGACACTGGGGCGCTCCAGCGGGGGCGCATCAAACGTTATTCTACTCGCCGAGGTGGAGTACCAGGAGCTCTCTAGCCGTGGAGTCAGAGTGCTCTACGTGCCTTGCCAGTGTGGACGGGTAGTAATCTAGGGTGCCTGGGGCCCCTTTAATGCGCTGTAACTTGCAAGTGTAGCCAAGCCCTTTAAGTAGCTTTGTCATTGAAGTGTGTGGCTTGTTTTTGGCTTGGTGAGTGGCAGTAGGCGGTGCCTCCGAAATGGGATTGGCTTGGTTTGGGCTTGCTCTGAAAAGGCAGTGCAGCTTTTTTTATCTTGTAGATCTGGGAGAAAGAGGAGAGAGACAGAGGCCTTGTCTACACTGCCACTTTACAGCACTGCAACTTTCTCACTCAGGGGTGTGAAAAAACACCCCCCTGAGCGCAGCAAGTTTCAGTGCTGTAAAGTGGCACTGTAAACGGTGCACCAGTGCTGGGAGCTGCACTCCCAGTGCTGGTAGCTATTCCCCTCATGGGGGTGGGTTTTTTTACAACTACACAGCCACAACACTACACTACTCAGCCATGTTAAAGCGCTGTGAGAGTGAAGAGTTTTGTTGCCAAAAGTGTACACCTCCACTCTTTTGTCGCCAAAAGCTGCCTTTTGCTGACAAAACTCTGCAGTGTAGACAAGGCCTTACAGTGATGGTTGTGAGTGAGTCACTATGCAGGGTAGAATGATCTCCCCACTGTAAAACGACAGTGAGCTGAGATTGGCTGGTGATGTCAAAATGGTTATTTTCCTAAATTAGCTGCCTATGTGTAACATTTGCTTTAAAACAGTGCTGCTCTTTGAAATGGAAATTCACACAGCTGTGTTGCTGCATAAGATCTCCTTATTTCTTAAGGAAAATAGACACTGATTCCATTTCTTCAGGGGAAAAAAGCAGAGGCAAGAACAGGAACCCTCTTGGCAAGGAAACCACAGGTGTAAACAAAGTGATTTGTACTGTTTTCACCCTGTGGGCTATCAAAAGGCAACTCTTGATGGTCCAATTAATCAAATATTAGGTGAGATACCACGGTTAGAGGGAAAATTGGTTTAGGTCATTACTCTTGTAGTTTCTCCTTTCCTCTTCCTTTGTTAGTTGTCTCTCTGTTCCTCACTCTATTTTTCTTTTGATTGTTTTTTCCCGTTTTACTGCCTTTTTATTCTTTAAGGTCCAAGCTGTCAGAGACAGAGTAGCATTGTGCTGCTTACAGAAGCAGTTTGCCTACATTGCCAGCTGTGAATGAAATTGACTAGGATTCCAAAATCTGAGTCATTTTCACTCACAGCCAGCACTGTGGAGAAAGTGCTTGTAGGCTAGAATGCAGCACTATTCTTTCTTGGAAACTGATCGACCATAATCAACAAGCTGATATGATTACAAATGGACTTAGTTCTTTTGCTATGATTTTTTTGTTAGGTGCATATTGTATTTCTGAAACAAGTATCTTCTAAATTACAAAGGCCCAGATTCATAAAGGGACATAGGTGTTGCAACACTCAGCATTGCAATGCTTAACTTTTAAGTGCCTAGAAAATGACTGGAACACAAATGGGATCTGCAAAGCCTGAATTAGGTGCCCAGACCTCCTGTAAAAAGAATGGGAAGAGATAGGCACCTAAGAATCTGATCCAAAGAAGCCAGCATGCTAGATGGAGATCCACCTAACCTAACAAGCTGATGAGAGGCAAGGGGTGAATCCTAAACCTTGCCCCTCTCTGCTTCCATCACAGCCAGGAGCCGCTCTCCTGGAGTAAGCTGTGTAGGCACCTAAGCCATTTCTTGCACACATGCCTAACTCTATCCAAAAGAGCCCAGCGGGAGAGGAGGAGGGAACACCTGTTATTCCCCAGTTTGTAGACCACGCTGAGGCTTAGGCAGGCGATAAGTGTCTGGATGTCTTGGGGGAGGAAGCAGTGCTCATGCTCAGAGGTAGAAACTTAGGCACCTACAGAATTTTTACAGCAAAAATTTAGGTGCCAAGATAAGTTTAAGCATCTACAGCGTTGGGCAGCAACTGAATGGGGCGGGGGGGGGGGAGGGGGTTGTGGCTCTCAGAAGCACCTTCAACTGGACTTTAGGTACTTAAGTCCCTTTGTGGGTCTGACCCAAAATGCCTTACATAAAATAAGCAAACATTGCTTAGCTATTGTAACTATAGAACTAGAGTAGAGAATATCTCTTAAAAACTGGTGAACTACAGCTAATCTGCAAAATTTTCCTCATGCCTTAGGAATTTATAAAACAGACAACAAATGTAGATGCAGGTTTGCCACTTAAAAACCCTTGATGTTTGAAAGATGAATTCAACAAGGTTCCTCTGTGTAAAAAAAGAAACTTGTCATATTTTAACTGTAAACAAAAAAGCCATTAGAAATGAAACCTAAATATCTCCTTTAGTTTCTCTGAAGTTTAGTTTCAGAAACTTTACTGTTTTATTTCCTGAGAATAAATAAATATTACAGAGTTGCTGCTATATTTTCTTGAGTTTTGTTTTATTTCTGCAGAAGAAAACAAAACAAAACAGATGAACGGCTGCTGCCTTCCTAGAGAACAAGGTAAAGGGCTCTAACTGAAAATCTCTCATTTTCTGCTTTAATGCTGTGCAGTGGAATATTTCATTTCAAATTCAAGGAGTTAGGTGCGTAACTCCTATTACTGTGAAAGTCCTCAGTGAACCATGACAAAAATTGAGCAGAGTGTCATGCAGGTTGCCAACCTATATGAAATATGGATTTCAAATCCTTTTTATTAGTGGGGGGAAAACACAGACCAAAAAGAGTTGCAAATTAGAATGAAATGTCTTAGGGTACTTTTTTTATTTTATATTTTCCTGTGGTAAGACTGCATAATTTGTAAATGATTATAAGGATCCAGGGAGAAAAAATGGAGAAGAGGGAGGAAATGCAATGAAAACATGAATTTAATTTTGATGTGCAGAAAAGTGAAATGCAAACAAGATTGTGAAAGCGATAAATGTTAGTAGTTGTAGTTTTTTTTAGGTGTGCTCTATAAGGGTGAAATTTACCCCTTCAAACACACAGCCCAAGTATTTGGACTTTGTACAGGGTGTTGAGTGAGGAAGGAGGAGCAGTGAGATAGCCACATTCACTGATAGTCTGTTGGTGGGCTGTGGCCACGAAACCGACTCTCTCAATGGCTGCTGCCTCTCTGCCCTGCAGTTTTGGGCCACTGGATATGTGTATCTCTAGCCAACCCCAAAACAGGCATATTCAGAGCCTTTGTGGAAAAACACCCCGCTCTCCACCAGGTAGTTGTATAGAGTTTCCCAGCATGCTGTGCCTTTGGTGCCCCTCCCTCTATAACAGGTTTCAGAGATGTGGAAGGCCTTATGGGGACTCTTCACATTTATGTGAATTTCACCATGAGCACAACATAGCCCATTGTTATCACTACAGAAGGCTAAATCCTTTATTGCTGAACTTACCGTAACACCGAGGTGCTTCTGTGATGTCCACCTTCCTGGTCTCCACATGGGGGATTGAACCAGGGATCTCTAGAGCTAAAAGCCTGAATTGCTACAGTTTGAGCTACAGGTCCAAGGCACTGTAGCTGTGGACTGTAACAGCTCATATCCTTTATGGTCAGCCCAGAGAGGCATTTTCATCACTCTCCAGTGGGTAACATTTCCACCACAGGAGATAGAGAAAATAACAAAGAAACCCAGTTTCCTTACTACACTTGTAGTGTAGGCTGTTATCCAGGGCTGAGTAACACTTTATAGCGTTACAGCAATAGTGTTCGGCAGAGGATCTAGAGGTACTTACATAAATTACAGT